CATACCATCAATCCAAAAATAGCAAATCTTGTGCAAAAACAATAGCAGTCACAATCCTCATGCTAAACCACACACACAGCCAAATACAAAAGCTAATGTCCTGAATGCTTCATACTACCACGTAGTCAACCCTTTTACCAAATCAGTTGTTGGTGCTGAGGTAGCTCACCAGTTCTCGACCAAAGAGAACACACTCACACTTGGAACTCAGCATGAAGTAGATTCATTGACCACCGTGAAAGCTAGATTCAACAACTTTGGAAAGGCAAGCGCCCTTATCCAGCACGAGTGGCGTCCAAAATCATTGTTGACCATTTCTGCTGAGGTGGACACTAAGGCTATTGAGAAGAGTGCAAAGGTTGGATTATCTTTTGCTCTCAAACCTTAGAGGAATTTTGAGTCCTTTTAATTGAGGTAGGCATTGTTGGCAAAAAGCACATAATTTTCTCTCAAGACTGAATTTGGCGTTTTTTGAAGTTGGAACATAATTGTTGTTAATTCTTGTTGTCTTGATGAATGCATTTTAAGCAATACATCGGTTGTAAAAATAAGTAATAGTCTTTCTATAAACAAAAATGTTACTCTTAAATCTTCACAGTCTTTTGGCATATAATCTTTGGTTGCACTCAGCTGTCGGGCTCAATTATTTATTTTTTTCCAGCTTGATTTATAAGCTATTTGCATGTGATGATGCATCTTTTTTGCTTTTGTATGTGATGATGCTTGTATTTTCTTTATTTCTTTTAGAGTTGTGTTATTAACACACAATTTCAAACATGCATCTATACTACGACACTTAATTGTGTTTCAAATGCAGTGGATTTTTCCTGTTAAAAATTACTATTGCATTTTATAGTTTTGCAAGAAAACAATACTTTTTATTATCTTCTTGATTCCGATCTTATTGATAAATTTTTATTTTTATGCATTGGCGATTCAATCCATGGAATTGATATGTCCATATTGAATTACTCTATTTACAGCTTCATAGTTTTTCCCTTCAAAATTTATTATTTTAATAAGGCGTCTTAACTCGAGACATGGCCTGCCCACAACAGACTTGGACAGTGAAATGAATCTCAAGACAACATGTCAATGAAATTTGAACTCCAATCCATCATGAACTAAAGCAAAAGCCCTCTCTTATCAGAGCATACTGGCAGAGCTCCCACTGATCTTAAAATCCTAATCTCAAACAACCTACCTAAAGCACCAACAGGCTACCAAAGGTTAAAACAGCAATCTGCAACCAACATGCTAAACCACACACATAAGTTAATGACAAAAGACAAGGTCTGTTCATATTAAAGTGCAAAAGCTCACGATGAGTTTTGATGGAACAACTCAATTTCTCAATAGAAACACCTCATGGTTGTTGAACTGCAAATGATGAATTGTTTTCCTCTAAAAAACTTTGCACTTAGACCAAGTTAGAACAAACAAGCTTAAAGGCTAAACAATGTTCATCCAAGATCATGACTTCCATTCACACCTTACAACTGATAAAAAAGGTTAATGAAACTCTAAGCAAACTGTTGACATGATTGAATACAATAATGAAATCACAGTATCTGAACAGAAACATGAACATATGCAGAATGCTTCTCAACCCAACAACTTAACCTATATGCAATGAGTTCAAACCATATGAATTTTGAAAAGCCAAAGGAAGTTCCAATGAGGAAATCAGGTTGACAAACTCTCAAGCAAGTGGCAGATAGTGAGCATAGACAGTTGAGAAAAACATAAATGCATCATAATGCAAGTAGTGAATTGTGTACAAGTTGGACAGTTGACTCCAACATGGAAAACAACAACCAGTTCTTGGTATTTCATCCATTGATGAATTCCAAACATTGTTTTTTGACAAGGATGCAATCATAACAATGACTTAAGAAAAGCAAAAGCATAGCACAAATAAAAAACAATTGTGGTTTCAAGAAAACTAATAAGCTTTGTCATTGCAAAAAGTGCAAGAAAGAACTAGGGATGGCAAACAAACCCGGGCCCGCCCACACCCGCCCGGGCCCGCCCCGAAATTAACGGGGGAAATCCGATTAAATTGGGTGCGGGTGCGGGTGCGGGTGAAACTCGGTTCTTATCTACGGGTGCGGGTGCGGGTGCGGGTAGACACTAAAACCCGCCCGCCCCCGCCCCCGCCCCGCCCCAAATAATATATTTTATTTTGATTTCCTTATTTTATTTATTTTAATATTTATTTATTAATTATATTTTTAATTAAGTTATTAATATTCTTATTGCAATTAAAATAATAAAATTAATCAAGTTAATATTCATTTATTAATTAAAATTTTAATTAAATAATTAATTAATTTATTAAAATAATCAATTTTTTTAATTAAATTACTAATTTTTATTATAATTAAAAAAATAATAATTTTTTGCGGGTGGGGGCGGGGCGGGTGCGGGTGCACCCGTTTTCTACTGGGGGCGGGTCTGGGTGATAAATTTTCACCCCCGATTGGATTTGGGGGCGGGGGCGGGTCTGTTACATGGATGCGGGTGCGGGTGCGGGTATAGTTAAACCCGCCCCCGACCCGCCCCGTTGCCATCCCTAGAAAGAACCAATGACAGTCCAAAGTTTGCAGCAACTGACATGACCATGCTAATTCTCAAAGCATCATACATTGCAATATCATATATCAGCATTTTCATATGGGCAAGGCAACAACCACTGGGGTGGCGATACATCCAATATATCAAGCCACCCCATTGGAACTTAACAAAGCAAAAATTCTGGGCCAAATGCAAGATCAACACAAGGCAAGTTGTCAAAAACGATTACAATCCAAATTCCTCAAATCTTAGCCAGTTTCAGTGAAATAAAAGTCAAACCTGCATGTTTTTTCACGAGGAATATGATGGTGTCAACCAAATTTTCAAATAGTGCACACATAATGAAATTCGAATGGAAATGCAAAGTGAAGCTTGAAATGCTTTTGAGACTTTCAAGTTTTAAAGCAATTAAAGGTGGGTGATGATCTGAGCAAGTTCCAAATATGGTATGGGATGATTTCCAATAGGAAATTTTGTTTAAAACACATCAGAGCAAGAAATGGTATGTGAGTTGCCAACGAGGACATTAATATTCAAGCAAAATCCATGACAGTAATTGCTCCTAATTCATTTAACATAAATTGCATATCTCACACCACATTGTAACAACTTGAGAACAAAGTTGATGACATCAAATGTTAACAAACTTAAAGTGAAAATTGACAGCCAACATAATTCCAACAACAATTTTCATGAAAAAATAGGAACATAACAATGAGTCCAGCAGGATTATTTGGTGAGGGAAAAATTGGAACAACAGAAACAAAGATAAATACATTCAAGGATCTCCAAAAAAACAACAGTTAGCAAGAAACCTAAATGCTAATGCAAGGCTGTCATGCCAAGACAAAAGGTTTTAAACAGAAAAGGGTATGCTGGCAGGAGCATTTAAAGCCCTAAGACCTGATGATGCCAACAAGAGACTCATGGCAGGCTTCAACATGGTCTTCAAAGCATAAATGTTCAAGTCATGCACATGGCATTCTTATGCTCAAAAACAGTTGCCAGTGGCACCAAATGAAGGTTATGTTCACAAACAAAGATATCAACACAAGAACTGAAACAGATCACACCATTGTGTTCTTAACATCATGCACCAACTGAATATGGAAATAAGCAAAGTTCTAGGTTGACTAACCTCCCTACAAACTTGGACAGTAAGCTAAGCATTAAGGCAACTATAGTAATAAAACTGGAATCTTCAATCTGTTAGTGAATTCAAACAGGTTTTTATGAAAACAGCCTCTCCTCATGTTACTACATCATAACAGCATAGAAACATCAAGTCCTAAACTCAAATAGCCTACACTATCAAACCTCCTCTCAAGGATATAATCAGAAATGAGGCACACAACAAGTCCTAAAACCCTCATAACAGCAAACCTGGCTCACTGCTTCAAACCAACATCCTCAAGTATCAAGCACAACACAAACCAAAACACCTAAACATAGGGATCTAATCTTGATAGCAACCAAACTTGAGTTGACAAACTCAGATCCAAGAACTAAACTAACAGGGTCAGTTATGGGAGTATTGTTTGGCAGCAACAGACTTAAACAGAAACATCCATCTAAAGAAAACAACAGCACTCTAAAGGTAAACATGAACTCAACACAAAACACAACAAACTGCTCTCATGGTCCTAAACAGAAATGAAGCACACAACAAGTTTAAACCTCATGACAGTTACCCTTCGGTCACCTACTCAATTCACTTTGAAACTTGTAAATGAGAAATTCATTAAAATCCATTAACATCTACATCATGATTTAGCTCAAGGTATTAACAAGTTTAATTTAGGCTGCTAGATTTATATTGCAAGTGAGATATGGATATTAATATGAGGTTACATAACACCATGATGCAATATAAATTGACTTTATGTGCTTGTTTCATGTTCTAATATGTCACTTTATCATTGTTACTATTGTTTCAGATTTTTACAATTCTGTTTTCTTGTTTGTTTTTTGGAACCAGGTTGTGGCTTTAAAACTGTTGAGAGGTAACATTTTGAAATTGTTATAAAAGCAAAGTGTTGAATTTAGTTACTGATTTTCTGCTCCTGTAATTATTGCCAACACACGAATTTAAGAAAAAGAATCATTTAAAAATAATTAAAATTGAGAAAATTATGCTAATTTAAATTTTAAATAAAAATCAAATAAACTAGTGATTTAAAATAAGGAAATGTCTATCTAAGGTTCGAACCCAAGACCTTGGGGTCATAGACTCAAAATGGGTCTCTTTGGTCTTTCTTGTTATCGGATTTTGAATCACATGCTATATCCTCATTGTATAAACCTGTCTCCTTATTATTACAGTCTCGCAAAACCTTATCCCTCCCCCACACACAAAAGAATCCCATCTTCCTCGCACCCCAATCAAATTAACAAGAAGCTTAAATCCTTCATCATCATCAAACATGTTTACATCATCTTCTATCCAATTCCACGCCCCAATCATTCACCACCGTCTATCCTTCACCACAACCCACTCCTTATACGTTCATTCCCACAACCACAACCACAACCACACATTCCACGCTCCTACTCCATCATTCCTACGCCCTCCGCTGCTAAACCCCTCTCCTCCCTCCATTTTCACAGTCGCCGCCAAGTCTCCAACACCCGACAAAGCCAGCGAGCAGAAATGGGTCCACGAAGGTCTCATCACCGAATCCCTCCCCAACGGCATGTTCCGTGTTCTCCTCGACAACCAAGACCTTATCCTCGGCTACATCTCCGGAAAAATTCGAAAGAATTATGTTCGAATCCTTCCCGGAGATAGAGTTAGAGTTGAAGTCAGTCGCTATGACTCCTCCAAAGGACGCATAATTTACAGGATTCGGAATACCCCCGGTGGTCCCAGCTCTTAGTTTTTAGGCATGTCTAGTGTTTGTGAAAATGGCTCAATCAAATTTGTGAGTTTTGTTGGGATCCTAATTAGGTTTGTTTAAATGGAGGGATGAGGAAAGAGGAAAACTATGTTTATTTCTTTTTTAATTTCAACATTTTGTTGCGGTAGAAAAACCAAAAAGCTAAAATATGCTTTTTTTTCTCTCATTTTGCATTGCTTATTAGTCTTGTCTTGTTTGTAGTTTAGAGGTAACTAAATAAAATATTCAATTTCTTGCAAAGTAGTAGTTTGTAATACTGAAATGAACACCAAAGCTTTTATTTTCCTGCAAATTTTTCTTTGCTGAAATGCTACCTTCAACATCGAAGGGACTGCTGGTTTTTCTTGCGAAGAGCATTTTGTTGATATCTCATCTGATTACACCGTCATTAAGAGTATCACATAAGATGGTTGAAACCTCTGTTTGTTCATGTGTGCTTTTATGTGTTACCACTTCAGTTTCAGCCTATAGCTAGGGGCCATGGATTTTACTTATTTGCTCTTACTTCCAATATTTTTTTCTACTTTCTTACCAATATTACATAGGGGTGTTCACATGACACACCCAGACAGACCGGTCCAAAACGAAACCGCTAACTGAAAAATTGTCTTACACACACCTATTAAGTATACTCAATTTTTTTAAAAGAAAACTGTTTGTGGTGACAGTTGCTCGCATCACACTGAATGCGTGAAATAGCATCTGCTTTTGTTGAGATGTTAGGAGAGGGGGACTTTAGTGTATGCAAACTCAACTGGCTTCACAAGAGTTGATGCTCTAGTGCATTAGGTCAGTCGGTTGAATGTTCATTCGGCCAAACTTAGCTCCTGGATAGCAATTGTTGCTGGCATCACTAAGTCCTTCTCAGACCTGCACGCCGAGGTTGAGAGACATTTGAACGGCAACACAAATATGTGGAGTTGCTGACCCAGTTTTCTACTCCTTGGATAGCACAAATATGTGGAGTTGCTGACCCATCTTTCTATTCATTGGATAGAAATAGCAGAGGCAAGTTGATTTAGGCCTCGTTGAACAAAAGCAGAATTCTAGCGCTCACCGCAGATGAGTCCTAGTGGGAAAAGACCCAACCTATTTGTGGGAGTTTATCATCAGGTAGTGCATCAACAAATGTATGCCGGCTTTTATCATGCTCCTAGTTGGTTTTCTTCTGTTTCTTATAACATTATTTATTCCAATATATGTTGCCATGGGATGTGCTCTTTCTGACTGGATTTGTTATCATGTTGGTGCAGATTGAGATAATTTATGATTATGGCCGTGAAGACAACAACTGAAGCTTTTTTTTAATCTACTAAAAGGAACTTTGAGGTCTGAAAGGCGAGAGTTGCATACTACAAGACACTAGATTATCAGCTACCAGAGCCCGGGAGGTTCCGTAATCTGCTTCATATGAATGCTTACTTTGGAGGCTTTGCAGCTGCAATGATTGATGATCCAGTTTGGGTCATGAATGTTGTTCCCGTCGAGGCCGAGATCAACACCCTTGGCGTCGTTTTTGAACGAGGATTGGTTGAAATCAGGTTGACAAACTCTACAGCAAGTGGCAGATAGTGAACATAGACAGTTGAGAAAAACATAAGTGCATCATAATGCAAGTAGTGAATTGTGTACAAGTTGGACAGTTGACTCCAACATGGAAAACAACAACCAGTTCTTGGTATTTCATCCATTGATGAATTCCAAACATTGTGTTTTGATAAGGATGCAATCATAACAATGACTTAAGAAAAGCAAAAGCATAGCACAGATAAAAAACAATTGTGGTTTCAAGAAAACTAATAAGCTTTGTCATTGCAAAGGGTAAGAAAGAACCAATGACAGTCCAAAGTTTGCAGCAACTGACATGACCATGCTAATTCTCAAAGCGAGGGTTGAACTCAGTATCATTGGAATGGCAAGTACTTATGGGCAAGGGCAATAACCACTGGGGTGAGATGGCGATACATCCAACGTATCAAGCCACTCCATTGGAAGTTATACTTAACAAAGAAAAAATCCTGGGCCAAATGCAAGAGCAACACAAGGCAAGTTGTCAAAAACAATTACAATCCAAATTCCTCAAATCTCAAAATGCACTTCAAGTTTCCCTCTTGCATGTTCTATTGCATTTTCCCTTGTGTGAATTTTCTTTAAAATTGGGTTGCATCATCCTTTTCCTCATGAAAAAATATTCAGTTTTGATTTAAAACGGATGTATCGTCACCCCAGTAGTTATTGTCTTGCTTTTAAAAACTTTGACACGCCTTGTGACCGATGTTTAACCCTCATTTAAACCTTTTCTCCTTCCATTTCCTTTTCTCATTCCAAGCATTCCAACCAAAAAAATTCTCATATAGTTGTAAAGACAATAGTTTAATATAAAAAAATGTCAGATAGAGATATTTTTTTCATTGCTCATGACTTGAAAAGCATTAATAATGGTGCTATAATTCAATTGAGTGATGTAAATGAATGCAATTAAACTGTTTTAAATACAGCAGGGTGGGTTAGAGTTAAAAGAATACAACATGGTCTTTTCTACTATGGGAACGGATGTATCGTCACCCCAGTAGTTATTGTCTTGCCTTTAAAAACTTTGACACGTCTTGTGACCGGTGTTTAACCCTCATTTAAACCTTTTCTCCTTCCATTTCCTTTTCTCATTCCAAGCATTCCAACCAAAAAAATTCTCATATAGTTGTAAAGACAATAGTTTAATATAAAAAAATGTCAGATAGAGATACAACATGGTCTTTTCTAGGATGGGATGTTACTATGCTTTATAACAGTTTTAAAAATCTATTCTGATATATTATGGAAAGGTATCTCTGAAATATCTTTTTAGATATATTTCTGGAATAATTAAAATGTAAATAGATTATAAATAACAAGTTATAAGCTTAAAATGTAAATAGATTATGGATAACAAGTTATAAGCTTATAATAAAATGTAAATAGATTATGGATAACAAGTTATAAGTTTATAATTAAAATATAAACTTATAATAACATTACTTCAATAGTACTTTTTTATTAAAGTACTATTAAAAATTTTACAATATGCATATATATCAGGTACCATATAGAAATAGATAATATACCGTTTTTCAAATTTCTACTTGAAATTGCCTTGGTCTGCCTTACCTAGAAAAACGGCTCTTAGTAGAAATTGCCTTGGTCTGCCTTACCTAGAAAAACGGCTCTTATGATATATGTTTTACTCGGGTGGCTTAATATAATGGATGTATCATGTGTTCACTCAGCGAGGTTTAAATAAGTAAGAGCAAATTCTTTTGCAATTGGTGAGAGATTTTGTTTCTTCTTCATTTTTGTCACCAATTCATGTTTTTTAGTCGTCTAATAGCGGTTCTTCATTTTTGTCACCAATTCATGTTTTTTAGTCGTCTAATAGCGGTTAGAAGATTATTAAGTGTGGCATATTATCTAAGAATTTTGATGAGTATAATATATTAAATCATTTAAAAGATGATAAAAGATAATTTGTAAATGATAATAAGTACAATATAACTCAGATACATAATTGCTATAGAAATCTAAAAAACCTCACAAGGTAAGGTATACACACAAAATAAACAAGAGAGATTTGTTAATTGAAATGCAATATAAAAAGAAATATATGTCCTAAATCAGAAATATAGACAATTTGAATATTATTGCTGATATCTTTTAAATGCATTCTGATTTAATGAAGTTGTTAAAAATATTTTATTTTGTTAATTTTTTAATACTAGATAATAGTAATAGTATTGAAAACAATGAAGAAGAAGAGAGAGGGTAAACATGGTTAAGTTACACTGTTGTTGTCACCTTATTTTTTGGACTATTCTATAACGTCCTAACCTAAATTTAATTTATCTTAATTATAATTTATTCTTAGATTTATTTAATTTAGAAATTTAAGAAAGATTATGTACATATAACTCTCTTAAAAATTTTCTGGTTTAAGTATATTAATTTATTTTCGATTTAGTTATATTCATGTTTGGAAAATAATAAATTTATCATACTTTTTGTTTATTTCAAAACTCAGATTGAAATATAAATTCAACATAAGAAAGTTTCTACAAAGTTTTAAAAATAAAGGAGGAGATTCAAAAATGATGGGATATTTCTCAATTAATTAGTGATATCAAATCATTATATATTGATATTTGTTATTATATATATATATATATATATATATATATATATATATATATATATATATATATATATATATATATATATATATATATATATATATATATATATATATATATATATATATATATATATATATATATATATATATATATATATATATATATATATATATATATATATATAAAATTAGATATTTCTAAATTTCTCAAACAATATGTGATGTTAGTGTGTTAAATGACAATGCTCTAATTTTTGTCGAAAGAATAGGATGACTTTAACTCTATTTCTATTTAAATCAATGTCAGATTTGGTTTGTATTTGTTGTAAGAGAAAAAACATGTTTTTCGATAGTTTTTTTTAACCAAGACTAATGGCAAAAAAATATATTAGAGAAGAGAGAACATACACACAAAAAAGGGGTATTAGACCAAAACTCCTACTAAGTGTGATATTTACCGCAAAAAATTCCTTGTCGATTTTTTAATAAGTCTATTATAATTTTGTCATGTACATGATCAAACCAAATAAAAAATTTATGGGTGAATCTTAGAATAATAAGCTTGTCTGCACACATTCTCTTTTTTAAAGACGTGAGACACGGTAAAATGCACGGGGAGAGTCATCTTTTTACATTCCTGCCATCGGGAATTTAACTCCAGGAACAATAAAAGAATTAGAAAATGCTTGCACAACAAGCAAACTGTCAAATTCGAACCAAAAACGAGTCCAATTATTTTTCATAGCAAGCTCAACAACCATCATAGCACCAATAAACTCAGAAGTGAATGCATCACCTTACCCAATATAGAAAAACT